GGAAGCCCTAAGGCGGATTTTACCCCTAGGGAAGCGGGGCCATTGAAGGTTTTCTAGCAGGGACACGACATTGTCAGATTGACATTCTGAAAAGCTCACTCTGGTTGGGTTGCAAAGTGGTTGGCCCGCGAAGACTGCTGCTGAGGAACCAGTTAGGAAGCTTTTGCAATAACCGAGGGGGGAGATTAGGTCTTATTGCTTAAAGGAGGTAGTAATCCCCCAAATGACTTTCAAGAAGAAAAGTAGTCCTAGGCGCCCTTCAATCTCACAACCATAGAAAATAGACTCATAGATACAGAGAACAGAAGGGAGGCGAGTTGGGGGGCTGGGTGAAAAAAGTTGAAGGGGTTTAGAAGTACAAGTTGTCAGTTACAAAATAGTCACAGGGATGCAAAGTACAGCATAGGGCAGGGGTGGGCAAACTTTTTGACTTGAGGGCCACAATGGGTTCTTAAACTGGACCGGAGGGCCGGAACAAAAGCATGGATGGAGTGTTTGTGTGAACTAATATAAATTCAAAGTAAACATCATTACATAAAAGGGTATGGTCTTTTTTTTTTTTAGTTTTATTCATTTCAAATGGGTCAGATCCGGCCCGCAGGCCGTAGTTTGCCCACGGCTGGCATAGGGAATATCCTATCCTATATAATAAAAGGCTAATATACAAATTGTCCTTTCCACCAGGAGTTCAAGGAGGCGGTTGACCAGGGGGCGGGGCTGGCTGGCCAACCCACTGCAGCCCCTTCTCCTGGCTGGCCCGCCCGATTGGTCCCAATTGGGGGGTGCTGGCCGGACCCCACCCGTGCACGAATTCATGCACCTGGCCTCTAGTAGTCAATAATCTATAAATACAAAAGCCTAAGCAACTGTTACAATGGAATGACCTGTCGCTATGACACACACTGATCACCAGGGGGCAGATGCTTAACACAGGAGCTTCCCCAGCCCACAGGCCGGATCACTGATGGGGCCTGCTGGCCAACCTCCTGGTACCTCCCTGCAGCCGGCAGGCCCCAATTGCCCAATCAGGGCCAGGCCCCGGTCTTGGACAGGGAACTGGGGGTAGGTGGTGGCAGATGCAGCCCATTTCCCAGCCCCTCCCCCCCCCCAGGGCCAGCTCGCCGGCGGCCAATCACTTGAGTCCCTCCCCTTGTCCCTCCCCCCGCCAGCAGGCCCCAATCGGTCCAGGCCCACGGTGGCAGCTACCCCCCCTCCCCCTTGGGCTGCAGGCCCCTATCACGCCCAACCTCCCGGTCCCTCCCCCCCAGCCGGCAGGTCCTGATTGCCTGATCAGGCTGGGCCCTGGTTTGGGACAGGGAACCAGGGGATGGGTGGCAGCAGACCAGGCGGTGAGGGAAGGAAGAGGGGGGGAGGTGGGGAGGCGGGGAACCTGATCGGCCCTGATTGCCAGCCAGGCCTAGGGACCCCACCATGCACGAATTTTGTGCACCAGGCCTCTAGTATTGTAATAACTATGTATTGTGCCAGGTGGCTGGTATGGCTCAGATGGTTGGAGCAAGCATCTCCTGTGCACCAAAGGGTCAAGGTTCGATTCCAAGTCAGGGCATATACCCGGGTTTCAGGTTTGATCCCCTGTTGGAGTGTGTAGGAGGCAACTAATCGATGTTTCTCTCTCTCTCTCTCTCTCTCTCTCTCTCTCTCTGTCTCTCTCCATCTCTTCCTCCCTTCCTCTCTCTCTCAAAAAAAAAAAAAATCAATAAAAACATATCCTTGGGTGAGGATTAATATATGTATAAATATATATATTACCAGGTGAGTATACTTAATGTCACTGAACTATACACTTAAAATGGTTTAAATGGTCAATTTTATGTTATGTATATTTTACCACAACAAAAAAATGACCAGTTTATATTTCTTAAATTTTCCCATCAAATCTTCAGGTAAGTTTATATCCCAGAAACACGTGCTGTATTTTTTCTGAGAGACACCTCCTCCCTCCTTAAACAGAATTAAGCCTAGAGGTTTGCCTCCGCCTCTCTCTCTTTCTCTCTCTTGCATGTGATTATTTGTTTCTCCTATTCAGGAGTAAATTACATAGAGTATAAATGTATAGATCTTAGGGTTTGATGTGTTTTGACAAATGTAGCAACACCTAAATCAAGTTATAGATTAAACATGTCTATCACCCCAGAAAGTACCCTCTTGCCCCTTCCCTCCCAGAGGCAACTACTCTTCTGATTTTTTGTGTCATAGATTGGTTTCATCTGATCCTGCAAAATGTACACTTTCTGTCTGGCTTCTTTCTCTCAACATGGGGTTTTAGCAACTTTTTTTTTTCAATCTTCACCTGAGGAGTGAGGATATTATTCCATTGATTTTCTAGAGAAAATGGGAGGGAATAGGAGGGGGAGAGAGAAACATGGATGTGAGAGAGACAAATCAATTGGTTGCCTCCCACATGCTTCTGATGGGGGTGAGGGGTGGGGGGTGAGTGGGAGGGGGTTCCGAGAGGATTAGGGGTGGGCTGAGGATCAGACCTGTAATCCAGGTATGTGCCCTTGACTGGAATAGAATCCTCAACCCTCTGGTGTGCAGGCTAATGTTCTACCACTGAGCCACACCGGCCAGGACTGCATCTTCTTGTTTTTGAGAAACACAGATTTGAGAAGTCAGTGACCTCCACTCTTTTAGTTTGCAGTGTTGTGATTTGCTTTTCCTCCATGGCAGAAGACAGAGATAGGATTGGAGCCTCAGGTACATGCCCTTCTATTTACTGGCCCTTTTGCCTTGAGCAAGTCACTTACTTGGCTTTTTCAGACCTATTTCCTCATCGGTAAATGCATCTATTGTAGGATTGAGTAAGCTAATACTGTATTATGATATTTTGCATGACACTTAAGCAGAATGGCAAGTATTTCATTGTCAGTCCAGGATGATGAAGGAAATGGGTGTGTGCCTACTTAACAGCTTCTGCTTGTATTAACAGGTCACCTTTGGCTCTTCCGAGATGCTGGGACATATGATGGGCTTCTGGTTAACCAAACGGAACTATTTGTGCCATCTCTCAATGTTGATGGACAGCCGATTTTTGCCAACATCACACTACCAGGTACTGTTGTGCCATCTTACTCCCCCCGCCCCCCCATCTTACTTTTTAAAAAGATAAGGCTGTTACAAGTAGGGGAAAGGCCACTTACAGGAGCCAAGCCCTTACTGATTTTTGCCTGATGCTCAACCAGGTATTCAACCTTTCTGTGTCTTATTCTCTACCACAATTAAAATGGAAGTAATGTGTTTGTAGGCTCTGTATTGAGCAAAGGTGTTGTGATGTTTCGAAAGTTCTTTGGGACAGGCCGGTGTGGCTCAGAAATTGACCTATGAAACACGAGGTCATGGTTTGGTTCCCCATCAGGGAACATGCTTGGATTGTGGGCTTGATCCCCAGTAGGGGATGTGCAGGAGGCAGCTGATCAGTGATCCTCTCTCATCATTGATGTTTCAATCTCTCTCTCCCTCTCTCTTCTCTGAAATCAATAAAAAATATATATGTATTTAGAAAAGCTCTTTGGGCCCTGGCCAGTGTGGCTCAGTTGGTTGGGCATCATC